ATTACTATTTCCTTTAATGTGGTCTGTATTTATTCTTAGGGTTTGAAACGATGCTTTGGTTAGTTATGCTATAAGCAGTTTAAATAGAGAGGAATTATGACTCTTGGAGGCAGCACGCAAGGACGTAGTGTTCATTCCTGTTCTTGATATGGGTAACTATCTTCTTTTCGTTTGTGCAGGAATGGGGGGATACCTCGGGTATTATATGAGTAATACCACTTACATCAAGTCATATCCCCTGTTGACAATGGTAACCATAGGTATCCTGAGTTCTGCTGCTTTTTAACCAATCCCATTAGCATAAGTTAGAATAGCCCTATATATAATTCTGGTTATCATGATAAATAAAAGTGTAGCTTATTCTTAGATAGTCTCAATCTGCTTTACTAATATGTTTGGTCTTGTATTACACAGGTCAAGCCTGCCAAAATTATCCCAAATCCTTTTTACAACTGGATACATTGGGTAATATTTAGTTATGGGCATTCACAGGTGGTATAGTTTTTGATGGTAAGTTTACATAAGACTTGGGCATAGACCCAGGTTTAAATCCCTCTCCAATACTTAGAAGAAAAAAAAATGAAGAGTTTTTTTGCCACACTATGTGCATGTTTAATTTTCTACTAATAGGTGGAAGTTAGGATGTTGGCTACCTGGTTAACATTTGGGCAATTTATAGGCATCTTCTATCAATTGGAGTCTGTACTGGGAATGTCGTGGCATTTTTTTTAGGCTAGTTCGTCAGTGAAGGGCCGCCCCTTGTGTGATGATGGATCTAAAAATTTGTACTAGTGGACTAGGCACAGTCATAGTGTCAAATTGTAAAATTGGAGATGGAGGATAGGAGTGTTTTCTTTTCTCAACTTTAGGAACCTAATGACTAATGTTGTCCGAAGTTCACAAGAATCCGAAACTACTAAGTTAAAATTTTACCACAGAAAAACAAAACTAAATATCAAGCCATTAATTTTCCATCCTAATCCATGTTCAAGTTCATCATCATTTCTAAATCAAGCGCTTCATCATCTTGCTAAACGATAACCATATGGTCTTGCTCTTTTCCTCTTTTTCCCAATTTATTTCTTTTCTTCTTGTTCTGAGCCATCCTTTATTGAAGAGTTCCTTTTTTTCCTCCCATGTTGCTTTCATTGGATGCATGCATCTTCTGTCCTTGTATTGTTTCTCATTGGGTTCCTTCTTGTTGTATTGAGAGGGATGTTTTGCGCGATGGTCGGCTTTTTTTTTTTTGGGTTTTTTGGTTTTTAATCATTTGAATTTGCCGATGTTTTGTTGCGATTACTACAATTGCCTCCACTTCGATGTGATTACATACAGTTCATTCGCTCAATTCTGATTCACTAAACAAGATTCATATGCGTTGCGGCATGCATAATCAACTTGAATTAATGATTCTAAATAACACTGACACCTAATAAGGGTAAAGAATCATAAGGAAGCATTATCTGCAACCAAAAGAAAAAAAAGAAAAAACATTAGACAGATTAATTTAGGATTTTGGACTTTATGAGTGAGCAGATCAAGAGAGGGGGCAGTTTCCTGAAGAAAATATTAGGAAATGATGAGGAGTAATGTTTAGGATGATCATGATGGGCTTTAAAGCAAAAAAAGAGAAAAAACTATAACTATTTAAAGGAATAAAGGACCACTTTTAAAGTAAAAGACAATGAAGCCCAACCCATAAAGTTAACGGAGCTTTTTAAATTTAGCGATGAATCGAGCACATGTAGGAAAGCAGATTCAAAGCAAAATAGAAAATCTATTAAGGGGCGGGTAGCATGGGAGCAAATCGAGGGGGAACTGGAACCGTATTATCCCACTTTGCATTTTTCACTGTCATTGGTTACTGGGCTCTAAGCACTTTGGAGTGTGGACTTTAAGAATGAAATCTTAGGTGCCTGGTTTATGTGCATTTGAACATGTGTAATTAATATGTTGATGCAAAAGTGGATTTCTTATGAACCTTGCATTATCATGCACCTATTTAGTTATTGGACCCACCTGCTTCCCCCCACATGCATAAGGCATGCATATGCTGGGCGTACCCTTGGATGAAAAGTAGGGAGCTAAGATAAGTGTTTATATAATGATTATATGATAATGTATTTTAAAAACTAGGCAAGTGCATATTTATTTTTAATTAACAAAAAGGGCATGTCCAAGTATAAGAATAATTTTTAGAGAAATATTATGAACCGGTATAATATTTATATACTATTGTTAGATTTAAAAAGAAATAATTTCCTATTCAAGAAAATACATTATCGTTTTTTTTTTTTGTTTTTTGTTTTTTGTTTTTTTTTTTTTTTTTTTTTTGGAAATAAAGAAGATGCAAATCAGGGTTCTAATAGATTTCATAGCGTTCAGTTTATGGTGAAGTCTTTATTGTATAGAGCAAAATATTATTTTTATTACAAATAGAAAGTAAAGAGAAATTTAAACATAATAAAACTAGGAGATCTTCTTAATTATTAATTTCCAATTGAAAAATTTATTGAACTACAAGTAAAAGATAGAAAAAGGATACTTATGGAGAAAAAGAATCTTCATTTAGTTAAGTGTTTTCTTGGCCTTTAGCTAAGTACTGGAAACATATCTCAAACGAAGGAAAAGAAACTGTAATGCCCTTTGACCAATTACTAAAATCTTCTCTCTCTCTCTCTCTCTCTCTCTCTCTGTATTCTCTCTCTGTATTATATACATATACTATAATGATATATATGAGGGTGCGGGGGCGACCATGGCCCCTATTCCCCTATCAATGTCTGCCCCTGATGGAAACTTGACAGTGCGCTTCTAGAATTGGAAAGACTATATATATATATATATATATATATATGAGGGCCATGGCCCCTATTCCCCTTATCAATGTCTGCCCCTGATGGAATTGACAGTGGTAGAATGGAAAGATGAAAGGGTGACTTATAGGTATCATATGCTACTTTCTACTTTGACTGTTTGTTAACCTAGCTTCCTTGACCAAACATGATAAATTTGAATAGGAAGTTATGCTGTTGATGAACATAAAGTCAATGATGGCAAGTTTCATCTGCCACACCCTCTTTTGGAAGACTGAAATCAAGTGCTAAATTTAAAATTTAACCGTTTCTCAAAGAAACAATATTCAATGGGAGCCCATGTATTTATCTAACTTGGGAACGTTAGCCTAGATATATTGAGCTAAGTTTCAAAAGCTTGCATACATCTAACCTTCATCCTTCTGCACCACGACAACCAAAACTATTTTAAATTGCAAATCCCATACTTATTTTTAACAAAAATTTAAATTACTTACAATTTTCTTAAATATTTATTCAAAGGTTCAAAATGTGATGTTGCTCATGTCATGTTTATTATCCAATCAAGCTTTTCGTTAAGGATGGGCTATATAGTTGAAAGGTGGGGCTCATCTGAATGGAATACTGATTTGCATAGGAATATAAACAAAGGGAAAACGTTATATTTTCAACTTTTGATGACTGAATCCTATCATTCAATCTAAACTCTGGTGAGCTATGGCAGATCCACGTGTTATGTATTCAGAACCGGCAAAGTTCGTAGCAAAGCTGAGGGATATGAAAACTGATGATAATTTGCTGCTGTTGAAATGTGATCTCTGTGCTGGGCATTCTTCAAAGTCAGGAAGGTAAATCTATTCTATTTATGCTGTTTACATTTGAATTTTGTTGCAGGGTGTTTGTCCCTCTTCTTTCTTCTTTTTGGTAATGACTCTTGAGTATTGTTAATATTTGCATTGCACTAGCCACTTGTTTACATGCACTACATTTTTTTGGTTCTCCTTCCTCAATTGTTAGAAATCTTTCAAAAAGTTGATGAACTAGAAATAATTCTATTATGATACCTGTGGCTATTCTTGGCTTTTTTATAGATAAAATACAATGACAGGGGACTACTACTTTCTTCTCCAAGTAACACTAAAAAACATTTGCAACTTGGAATTGCAGCTTTTCTCTCGTGTACAAAATTTACTTAGAAACCTATGTAATCATCAATTCATACAAGGCTGGGTTTTATCATTTCTGTTGGGTTTATTAAAGTGCAGCACCTTTATGAATGAGCTTTCTAACGGTTTTCACTGACAATCAAACTACTACATTGAATTTCTTGCCATCTAAAAATGCCGTTTTTTGGCTTAACAACTTCCACTAGCGCTTCGCAAATTAGGGTAAAACATGTACATTACCCTAATACCAATTTGGTTCACAAACAGAAAATAGTAGAAATGTATTAGTTCTATGTTAATGGAATAACTATTCTTCATATATATATATAATTTGTATTCACACGGTTGTTTAAATATCTATCCTGTGTGCTTATTCTTCCACGGAATTATTGTTTTACATTTAAAATTTTTGTTAGAGAATTTTCTATTCTTGTGTTATTCCATGGGTTGCAGACATTATTAGTTATTACAAATGAGAACTTTTTTTGTTTCCCACACAGGTTTGAGAGGCTTCAGGAAGATGCATTCAAATATACTTTTCTGATGAAGGTTCTAAATATGATCCCTGACCTTGGTTCTAGCTAGAAATGATAAAATCTATGCTTAAATTTCATATTCTTCATCTCTGCGAACTAATACTATGGTTCATGCGGATAGATATATACTTGAAATGAAGGTGAAATTGAATGCGTTTCAAATAAAAAATCTTAAAAAATTAAAATTATAATAAAACCAAATTCTCTTTCATTTCAAATGACTGTCTATTCAAATGGACCCTATATGTATTTGACATTGTATTTAAGTGTAGAACATTGCATTTTGATTAAATTTTGAGATTTGAAAACATATGTGAGGTAACTGGGCATTCATTGTCAAAATGGTTTGGTTTTTCTAATTGGGATGTGCGCATGGTCTGTAGATTATTTACAGAATCATTTAATGCAATAAAAAGAGGGCAAGAGGGGACAACGTTTGTGCATTGTTTTGATGTCTGTTTTCACTAGCATCAACTTTGACGCGGAAGGTCCCCCATTCTAAAATTCTAAAGATCTATTGTAAGAAATTGGAGCGACAAAACGGATGTGCCCGGATAACATGACACCAAATTAGTATAATATTAGAGGATTTGGTTTTAGGTTTATTGTGTACCTGTACTTACCATGTCGATTGAATTGTGATAACAAAATAGATAAATTATTGGGTCCATGGTCCCACTCATGGATCAAACCTATGAGAATAAAGTTTTTTATTGAAATGAGAGTATTTCTAATGACATGGAGAAAAAAAAGGATGAAGTCGAAATATTTTTTAAAAAATCCTTACTGTTATTGGTTGGTTCATAAACATGACTATGTATCAGGTCCAGGTAAGTAATTTCCTAAGAAAATAGCGGTGTGGATTGACTTATTATTTTGTTAATTTAACACTTAAAAAGTGGTATATTTGGGCTCAATTTGAATTAATAATTAAAAAGTGATACAAGAGTAAATTGCTAAATGGTTAAAAGAAGATTTATATGGTTTCATTTATCATTGAATCCGTTTTAAAAAGAAGCTTTTTAATTTAGACAAAATTTGGCTAGGAAATTTAGATAGGCAACTTATTAGTTTAGCTTAAATAAAATATATTTTTGTTTTTAATTTATTGGAGACTTTTATAAGCTGAAATAATGCAGTTGACTATATAACATGAATTAGCTTTTCTCTTGGCTCACTAAATTGGTGTAAACAAATGTGATTAAGAGAACTTGAACTTGAGATTTCTTACTTCTCACATAAGTGAGAAGACCGATTACACCATCACCTGATTGACAACTTATTGACAACTTAAATAAATAAGCTCACATCATTATTTTCTAAATTAATAAATTGGAGGTATAATAAGTTGTGAATGAGACAATAAATCATTCCCTTAGTGGCCTTTGATTCAACTGATTTGTAGCTCATACTTAATTTTCATCCAATAGCTAAACTAGAGTGTTTAGTAAGCATTTAATCAATCAATAGGTCTCAATTTGCATTTTGGTGTCGGTATTTATGTTATATTTTTGACTCTATTAAGTTTATAAAAGTAATTACTATTTTTTTTTTCAAATTAATATTTTTATGTGATCATTTTCTTTTATAATTATTTAAAGATGATAAATTACTATTAAAATTATTATGAATAATTAATTTATATCTTTTTATTTTAAAAGTATTGAAATAGAAAATAATATATTTACCTTGAAAAATAAAGGAAATATATATGATGTAAAAAAAATTAAGGAAAATAAATTGTTCCTTAGTGAATTTTACATTTCATCGGCATCCACTACTAAAATTTTATTGAAAATCAAAATTCATTAGCTATTAGTTAGTATAGAGAAGTATTTGCTATAGTGAAGCTTCGACCCGGGCGCCTTGATCCTGGACTGCTAGGGGAGCTGGAAATGCTCATTTGGATTTGACTCACGGAAAAAGCTTGTTCATATTGATCGTTATTTTTAAGGAGTCGCCATTTAAGTTTTGATTGGAAGGAAAAATTTAAGAAAATTTATATTTGACTCCAATTATTATTCCAATGAAAAATGCACTAGTTTAGGAAATCAAGGTTTCCGGCTTGAAATAGGTTTAGATTTGGTTTTAAGTACAACTTACTTACAAAAGAAGAAAATTAGATGAACAATTATAATATGTATGCACGGATATATCATATTCACAATAGATAATTAGCAAAGAAAAAGAAAAGAAATAGACCAAAAATAATTAGAAAGTATCATTTCTAGTTCCCTTAGGGATTTTAGGATGATCATATGTCTCTCAAAGCAATAAAAGAAATGAAGGAGAAAGATAGTTTTTTTGGTTGATTTGGTTCGCAAGTCAACACTTTAACCACCCAGTTTGTCTGTGTATCCCTTCGAATGTTAATAAGAACAATGTAGTTCTACCCGTTATGAAATGAGAATTGATCTTATCCTCTTTTTTTTTTTTTTTTTTTTTTTTAACCACCCAGTTTTGTTCTGTGCTTATCCCTTCGACATGTTAATAAGAACAATGGTAGTTTCTACGCGTTATGAAATTGAGATATTTGTCTTATCCTCTTTTTTTTTTTTTTTTTTTTCAATCATGTCTTGTGGTTTTTATATTCCTAAGAGGTTTGATGTCTAAGAAGGAGAAAGATTGATTGATTGATTCTTTTTTTTTTTTTTTTTTTTTTTCAATCATGTCTTGTGTTTATTCCAAGAGGTGATGTCTAAGAAGGAGAAAAGATTGATTGATTGATTCTTGTTTTGTCATATTTAGAAATAATGTCTAAGAAGTAAAGATTGATTGATTGATTGATTATTTCCTCTTTTATGTTGTGCAGGGGTCATGACACTAGCTTGGCGGTGACTGCCCATGCTTTTGGCGTTTTAGGTATAGTTCGACTCAATACAATCTTAGTTCATTTGACTTGTGGCCTGTTTCAACTCGGATTTTGACGTGTAATAATATCCCTTTGGAAAACTCTCTCGGTCTAATTTCCAATGATATCAAAATTATTGTAAAATTTTACTATAAAAAGAGTTATGACCAAAAGAATTAAAAACTCACCGTTTCTTTTGCTTTGAATTTGATTTGTCTAACCTCGGTTTGGTTAATTTTTCAAGTCTAGCTTGAATATTCGGAGTGTAAAAATTATGTGTTTACAACTATTAGTTAGTACAGAGAGCTAAATCACGTGAGCTTTTAATTTTTTTTTTTCACATAATGTTAATGAGTATTTTAATTGTTCTATTTTATTGTATTATGTATGTTATCTGTTCTTTTAATAGATCACATTTCTGTTAGATTTTTACAAGTATAGCGTTCAGTGCAATGCGCGAATTAATTATTACAACTTTTATATTTATAAATGGCTCAATACATAAATCCATCTCTGTATTTTTTTATAAAAAATTTCATGGCATCTCAACTTTCACTTTGACTTATTGAATACTTTGAACTTATAAAATTACATTTATTATACATTTTAATCGACCTACTGAATTCTTCAATTTTAAAAATTAGATCATTAAACACTTTTTAGATAGTTAAAAATATAAAATTATTATTTTAAAAGTTGTATTAACTGCATTTCAAGTCAATATTTTATATATAAAAATCAAAAACTTTAAAATTTTATTGTTTCTAGCGCAATAAGGTGTGAAATTATTAAAAAAAAAGACATTGAGAATGTCATAAGATCAATTTTAAAATTTAAGGCACCATAAAATCTTTTATTAAATTTCAGGAATTAAATTATGTATTCGGACAAATGAATTCCTCCCTCACATGGCTTAAGATCATAATGAAAGAAAGCTAGAGAATTTTGCTCCAAAATTAAACATAATTTAGGTAAATATAGTTAAATAGTAAAGGCAATAATGATTTTTTTGTTGATAATAATAATAGTAATAATAACAAGTGCTTTGTCTTCTGGTACTGGTAAGTGGCACAGTGATTTATAGGGATAGAAGCGAGGCGGGTATTCATAAAATTTTTAAGCTCCAAGTACATATATCTATTTAAAATTTTATTATCCATATTCATTCCAAATTCGTTTAAATATCTATATTTAAGTACACGTATTCGAACTCGTTTAAATTTTTACTATTCATACTCGTACAAAATCCATTTAAAGTAACCTTATATAGCTTGGATATCCACGAAGATTAAACTATCCAAATTCTAACTTATTTAAAATATAATTCAGATACCTTTTGCAAAACTCGTTTAATATAACGGGTAGCGCGTATCTAAAAAACATATACTCGTACCTTATCCATATCCGTTACAGGTAATAATTTCATTACCGGTATACGTCGCAAATCTATTTATAGCTATTCATATTATTTTTAAAAGGATCGGAGTGGAGTGGGTACCTTAAAATACTGGCACCGCTTCTAGCTCTAATCATTTAGATATAAAAAGGTACAAATGTAATTAATAAAATATAAAAGAGGCAGAAGTGGGAAAATCCTATTATAGGAGTAGTAATTTATTGAAAATTTATCTAATTAAAACTGAATCTTATGATTATGTTTAAAAATAAATTTTCTCTACAGTTGATTACTTCTTTTGGATGTAAAATTCAAGTGCTACGAATATTTAATGGAATAAATGTTTATATAATGATTTTCAAATTGCAAGTACAATAAATAGTTAGATGTTAAATTGACTCAAAATATTAAATATAAAAATGTATATTTTCAAAAACTAACTATCAAATTTCTTAATTTTGATTTCGTCTATGGTTTCGTCTTCCCGTCCAAAATACTCACTTTTTAACATCTCAATGTTAACAAATTATATTAACTATAATGGTCATACTATATGATGTTATCAAAGATATTCATTTAAGAAAAAAAAATGAAATAGAAGTATAAATCAAATTAACATATTTTTGATTCATTTTCTTTATATATTTTTTTCCATTTATTCATCTTTGTTTTCTGAAAGAACAGCTTCGAACTTATTCCTCTTGCAGTATGTTGACAGACCCAGACTTCAAGGTCAATGTGAATTAAATAATTAGAGTGCCAAATTGAAAAAATTCAGCAATTTTACAAAGTAAAATTTTAATAGAAAATTTTTGGATCTGGACTCGAGAGATGCCAACGCCCTATTATTTCTTTTATTAAGTAGAGTCATGAATAAACTAGATTAAGTTCCGCGCATTCAACTTGTTTTATTAACGAATATAAAAATTTAATTCATTATTATTTATAAACATATATTTATAAATAACCAATTCCAAATGTATTCTTATATGAGCAAAAAATAAGTTTTTTATTTTCAATTTTATATTCATTTCTGTTTTTCTCCAACGTTAACCCAATTAATTAAAGAGTTGATCTTAATTAATGGATTATGGAAAGCATTGATGATTATTTTATTTTATTTTATATATATATATAAAAACCTAAGTTCTTTAACTGTTTTAGCCTGATGACCGGATTCCAAGCGATGAGACTATTG